ATGGCAGAAATAAGAAAAAAGTAACCATTGATATTTTATAAAAAAAAAATAAAGTTTCTAAACGAACAGTTTAAGTAAAAAATTGCTTTGGCGAACAGCCACCATTCTAATATTTGTCGAAGAAAAAAAAATACAATTTTGGGATTTGCTCAAGCTTGTTGGCTAAAGCAAGTCCAATTTATGCGTTTTTAAACCTTTTCTAAAAGAGAAAAGGTTTTAATTATACTGGGCTGATTTTTATAATTATCTGTGCGTAATAATAAAAACCAATCCAGATACGACAAAGTATTCCGTAAGAGGACAAATAAAAGATTTATAGAGGTAGAGAATGGAACTAGAAATAAGAAAATGTAGTGAAAGATAATCCAAGAAAACATAAAAGTGTTCACTAATCAATATTATAGGAATATCAACATTTACGCCTGCTAAAAAAGAGAATTCACATTCAAACTTACTAAAAAAAAAGAGAATTCAAACTTACTAAAAAAGAGAACATTCAAACTTCTGTTCGAAGAAATTAAAAAGTAATGACTTTTTATTCTCAGGATCAAAAGTTGAACCCCGGAAGTTACTAATAATAAAAAGGATTGTTGTCCATAAAGAACGACTTTAATAGTGCAGCGTAAAAAGAATGATTCAATCATTCTAAAAACTTTATTTATAACCTAGATACACTATACAAAATGAGGATAAGGAAAAAACCATCGTTCCAGATTTTTATATTTTAAATGCAATAAAATATTTTTAAATGCGCGATAAAAACTTGTTATTATTAAGGTGAAAAGTTTAGCAGTAGACTAAGAAATATAGAATCTCAGAAAATCAGAAAGAAAAATTAAAGGTAAGGTAGTAGTTAGAAGTCAGGGAGAACTTAAAGAAGAACAAGAAACTAAAAGTTTAGACATAGTCTATTCTAAGATATATCTAACCACCTATTATAAGTTATATGTAACCACCAAAAGAAATGAGAAACTATACACAATTTCTTAAGGATCAGATAAATCAGAAGTGAAGACAGCGGCGTTGCTGGAGTTGATGTCACCCAGTGCGGTAAAGTTTGAGTGTCACCATTCTAGACTTTCACTAACAGGACCAACGACACGGGTTTCAAATTTATAAAAAAAAAAATATTCTTAAAAAAGGTTAGAGGCATACTGTCATATTTGCACTTTTTATTTTAGTGTCACCCTTCTCTGTTAGGTCGTGATGGTGTAAACTGGTGCGGCCCGCAACCCTAATGACGCCAATGATTAAAGTTAAGTGATTAAAGTTATTTCGATAACAAATCTTAAAGTTAAATATTGACGTAATAGATTAAGAAAGACATAAAGCAGGGTTTGTTTTTTTTTGGGACTTTAATCCTCATCCTTGACCATTAACAATATTGCCTCATGGATAAAAAAAATTGATTAAATAACATTGAATAAAAATGAAGTCTTGGAAAGAAGGGGAACAATAAAAAAAGTGAAAGGAATGAAGTAATATTAAACAAAACATAAAATTTGAGAGGATTTTGCAACAAAATAATATATATGTTTAAATTTATTTAAAAATAATCAAAATAAAAAAATAAAAAATACTTATTATGTTTATTATCATTTAAACTGGAAAAATCAAATCCAATTAGTGGAAAACAGCATTTCAAAAGCTCTTGGGATCCTTTTCAAAACGAAATACCTTTTGAATATAATGTGTTTAAAAAGCTTGTATTTTTCATTTATTCACATTAGTTAATATTCAGACTAATTATATTATTCAAAACAATTAATATTATTCAGACTAATCACATTAGTTATTATTCAAATTAATCACATTAGTTATTATTCAGACTATTTATGCAAACTAATCACATTAGTTATTGCAATATAGTGTGGGCAAGTAATTATTCATCTTCTTTAAAAAAAATTAATACCAAACAAAAGCAAGCGAGTCGGTTAATTTTAAATGCAGGTAGATATGCATGCGCCGAGCCTTTACTTAAAAAAATTAATGTTTTAAATATTTATAACCTAAACATCTATCAAAATCTGTTATTTATGTTTAAAATTCATAACAACATGCTTCCAACATATTTTCAACCTCATTTTACCTTAATTAATCATAAATACTCTACAAGACATTCCATTGGCAACTTTCTCATCCCTACAACATCCCTTAGAAAAACAGACCTCAATTACATGTCGAGAACCACGTTTGTGAAACTATTTCCTCAATAGAGACATGAAAAACATGACTTCAGTTGAACTATTTATAAGAGCAGTTAAACGATACTTATTAGATTTAAATAATAAAAACATTTTTTTGTATTTTTAAAAACATTTATATATCGATTTGTTAACACGTATATATGCATCTTATAACTTATATATTTTATGAGCTGTAATATGTTATAATATGAACAAAACTTGTAATATGTATAAAACTTATATAACGTATATTTTAGAAACTTAATACGTAAATCTTATTTGATATTTTCACGAACTTAGGAGCAGGGTGATAAGACGCAGTGTCTTCTACTTGTTCCTGACAGAATATAAAGATTTAATTTTTAATTTTTACAAAAAATATTGTAAAATGATTGTTTATTGACGAAAAATAAATATATATATAATATAATATATATATATATATATATATATATATATATATATATATATATATATATATATATATATATATATATATATATATATATATATATATATATATATATATATATATATATTGAACAATAGAGTTACACAATTGATATTGTATTTAGAAGAAGTGATACAAATTTTAATTAGAAAAGCTTATAAACTTATTTGTACTAAACTACAATAGGGGCTGTAACAGATAACAGCAAAAAGAATATTAACAAAAATTTGTGAATGATACTGATTCTGATGCAAGTATTTTTGAGTTCTTTTGTACCGCTTTTTAACTTTTAAAATTAACTCGTACGAAATACAAAAAATTAATCTGGCAAATTATTACTCCTTCTTCGCCCAGTTATTGTTGCCCTATAAGAATTAGATTTTTTTAAAGAATCTAATATTATCACAAATGAATAGATTATCTTTATTGAAAATTCAATAACCTTGTTGCATGATTCAAAATTAAAATTGGCTCGGAATTTCTTTTCAGATAAATTTAAGATGATGTTTACTATGGTTGATGCTAAGGTATGTAATGTCACTAAAACATCTTTAACTATGATATGATACACTTGTGGTGCAACACCAAAAGACTCAGAAAATAAAAAAAGTCATTGTCAAGCAAAGAAAACTAAAAACCTACAAAACAAACCCAAATTAGCTAAAATACTATGTATAGATTATAACCTAATATATCATCTTAAAATATATCGTCTAATATATCATCTTAAAATATATCGTCTAATATATCATCTTAAAATATATCGTCTAATATATCATCTTAAAATATATCATAAACTAATATATCGTCTTAAAATATATCGTCTAATATATCATCTTAAAATATATCATAAACTAATATATCGTCTTAAAATATATCGTCTAATATATCATCTTAAAATATATCATAAACTAATATATCGTCTTAAAATATATCGTCTAATATATCATCTTAAAATATATCATAAACTAATATATCGTCTTAAAATATATCGTCTAATATATCATCTTAAAATATATCATAAACTAATATATCGTCTTAAAATATATCGTCTAATATATCATCTTAAAATATATCATAAACTAATATATCGTCTTAAAATATATCGTCTAATATATCATCTTAAAATATATCATAAACTAATATATCGTCTTAAAATATATCGTCTAATATATCATCTTAAAATATATCATAAACTAATATATCGTCTTAAAATATATCGTCTAATATATCATCTTAAAATATATCATAAACTAATATATCGTCTTAAAATATATCGTCTAATATATCATCTTAAAATATATCATAAACTAATATATCGTCTTAAAATATATCGTCTAATATATCATCTTAAAATATATCATAAACTAATATATCGTCTTAATAACCAAATATATCGTCTTGAAATGATATTTTAACAACTTTAAGTTTGCATAAAATAGAAGTTTAGGAAACTAAAAAACTGCAGATTTATATGTTTTTACCCATGCTATCCAATGATCCCAACAATCAATTAAATCCTTATTCATGATTTCATTGTAATAGAGCATGATTTGTTGTCTTTTGGTCAGCTATCTGAATTATCAGCTTAAGTGAAAAAAAATATATTTTTGACTTTGTCAGCAAAATGATCCAAGAAATTTTCGTTGATAATCTTGCAACCTTTTGCAACCTTTTGCAACCATGACGTGTTTAATAGATTACTACTTAGCTCAGATCCCGTTTTAACTGACAGATGAGAAATTTGATGAGAATTCAGACCAGGAAGGAATGTCTTCCGACGAAAAATTTTAGCTTTTAACACCGTTCGATTAACTAAATAATGCATTTTGTGTAATAGTTGTTTTTAGTTAAAATATAAATTATTCTAAAGAAAAAATCTTTTTCCTTTTTTTAATATTTTGTATAGCTTAATACACACCGTTTTATATAGTATTTACGAGTGTTTCTTAATACTTTAAGACAACTGTAAGGCTAAGGTTTCGACTTCAATGCAGCATGAAAGTTAAAGGAAATAATGCGTACGTTTTTCACAAGGTCTATCCTTATCATATATATGCATTAGCGCTATAGAAAATGGCACTGTTTGCGATATTTGACTTTGCAAAAAGCGCACACAGTTACATTCAAGAAAAAGTACATACATACATAATATAAATACATACATACAAACATACATACATACATACATACATACATACATACATACATACATACATACATACATACATACATACATACATACATACATACATACATACATACATACATACATACATACATACATACATACATACATACATACATACATACATACATACATACATACATACATACATACACACATACATACAAAAGCATACCTTCAATACTTTTGCTTAGAAATCGACAGCTGAACTTTGGAACAGTAACAAGAACGCAAAATACCGTTATAAGTAATATTTTTTCCATCCTTTATATAATGTTAAGAAAAGATATCAAATTAATTTATTGATATGTTAAAACTATTATAGATAAATAAATATGCTCAAAATTACTTTATTATAAATTTACACAAAAATGTAAAATACAAAGCAGTAAAACTGTTTTATATAATATATAATTTTATGAAAGAGATTTGAGCTTATTGTGTGAGCTCTCTTTGAACTATACAGAAGCCAAGAACTAATAATAATAAAAAAATAAAAGTTTTTGCATTAACAATAGTTTATTTATACAACAATATATAAACTCATAAATCTCAGGAAGCTTTATAGCTTTGTGACGAACCTTCATAGTTTAAATGGCTGTAGATGAAAGTTAAAATAAAAATTAAATAAAATAAAATTAATAATTTTAATTTAGTATATATATAATAAATATTTAATATTTGATATTTAATACTATAATAAAAATTTATATATATATATATATATATATATATATATATATATATATATATATATATATATATATATATATATATATATATATATATATATATATATATATATATATATATATATATATATATATATATTTAATGCCCATGTTTTTTATTATTTGTCATTTTTTATTTCTTCTTCGTTTATTATGGTTTAAATTTTATTTATTGTAAATTCAGTAGTAGTAGTGTACATACATCCAAGAAGATATAGGTAACTAAAGCAATGTTTTTTTTAAACTCATATGTGCTTTTACATCAGTAAATAAAAAATCACATTAAAAGGATTTCTAAGTTCTGTAAACATATTATTTCATTTGAATAAACTTTAAAAAAAAAAGTATTTATAGCTGTGAAAATGACGAATAATTTAGTTTCTCTGTTCTTTTTTCTTGTACGGTATTCACGATCAAATCTTTAAAGTTTATGTCAACAAGTTAGTAAGTTAGCATAAAATAGAAGTTAGGAAACTAGAAAACGGCAAATTTAAATGTTTATACTCATGTTATCCGATGTTCCAAACACTTTGAAAATGGAAGCTGGGACCTTGAATCAATCATATGTCTTACAATTTCTTATATGTATCATTGCAGTATTAATTTATTTTTTCCGTATCAATTGAGTATTTGCAATTTCCTTTTAGAACCTTTTAACTTTCAAAATATTTAATTTTAAAATAAATATGTACAGTTAAAAAAACCTAGTTAAAAAAACCTAATCTAAGCATGTAATGGTGAAATGTCGTTGCACAATATTTACCCATCTATAACAAACCATTCCTAAAATTTTTAGATTGCTTATCATGTTATTTGTGGCGTGACAAGTTGGACAACATTGTACTAAAGAAGTGATGCCAATTAAGACTCCCCATAAATCATTAAAAGTAGAAAGATATAGTTAATTCGAACATACTTATATGGTAAGGTAAACTTTAACCGGTAATAAATTAAGAATTTCTTTTTTAATTTCCTCCTTCATTTAAATACCACTTATTTATTTTCTTTTTTATACTCCTGCATTACTTGTCTACAGAATCTATAAATCTGAGACATTATGTTATCCCATAAAAATATTGTTTGGATCTGATTGTACAAGAGTCAAAGTGATAATGCTGCTGTGGCTATAAGAATCTTGAAGGTTTTTTTAATTGGAATTATTAAAACACTGATGTTATTTTGAATGACTTGATGCTCCGCCCATGTCCCAACTACTAATTAGAATTAAATAATCACTCTTTTTTATCACTGAAATAATTTAAAATTTCCTTTTTATTTAGCTTCACAAGTTGCTTGGATGTATGATCCAAAAGTTGCTAGGATGTATGATCCAAAAGTTGCTTGGATGTATGATCCAAAAGTTGCTTGGATGTATGTCCAAAAGTTGTTTGGATGTTTGATCCAAAAGTTGCTTGGATGTATGATCCAAAAGTTGTTTGGATGTATGATCCAAAAGTTGCTTAGATGTATGATCCAAAAGTTGCTTGGATGTATGATCCAAAAGTTGCTTGGATGTATGATCCAAAAGTTGTTTGGATGTATGATCCAAAAGTTGCTTGGATGTATGATCCAAAAGTTGTTTGGATGTATGATCCAAAAGTTGCTTGGATGTATGATCCAAAAGTTGCTTGGATGTATGATCCAAAAGTTGCTTGGATGTATGATCCAAAAGTTGCTTGGATGTATGTCCAAAAGTTGCTTGGATGTATGTCCAAAAGTTGTTTGGATGTATGGTCCAAAAGCTCCTCTAATTTTACTTTTCATGTAGTTTCATCTTTCACAATATTTCCGTTTGGATGTATGATTCAACTTTGTTTCAGTGACTTTAATTAATGTTTTTAAAGGTAAGCATTTTTTATTACGGAAATTGGTTGATAAATGGAGGTCTACATGGTCGTTTTTTATGAGTAAAGACTTTTTAAAAGTCGCCTCTTTGTAACGACGCTAAGTAATATGACTAAATTAAAGTCGCGTTTACTAAATCTTGTGTTTTGTGCAAATAACAATTTTAAACGTAATAAGTTTTTCCAACTTATTAGGTTTTACCATATTAATATTTATCAAAAATAGATTAATATCTTAACTTCAAGAAACCATTAAATCTTTCATATTTAAACTTTCTTAGTGAGGGCGTTCGTAACAAATCCCACAAAGCATGTAAAAAAAGAATTAAATGTAAGAATTATTTTTTTGTAATTTAAGTAATTCTTTACTTGATTTTAATTTTTTTTAATTAATAATATTTGTAGGTATGTTAATGGAGTGTTACCCAATATAAATTATATAAATTAAGGTTGAATTTTGTAAAAGGAATGATTTGTTAAAGTTGGATTTAGAAAACTGCTACAATGCCAAATCACGCTAAGGTTCACAATGAAAATCAAAATTTTGTGTGCTTACTCTTCTGAAAAAGTGTTTAAGACAGCTTACTGCTTTCCAAGCAGATCAAATATGCCAACTGTACAAGAAAAAGATCAATATCAGTTATTCTAGGGTACTACAAGGACTCTGCAATTCGTGTAGAACAATTTTGCCCAGGAAACAAGAAAAAAAAAATTATCTTTTTTTTTTTCTTGTTTCCTGGGCAAAAAAGCAAACCACCATTGAGAAAGAACAAAATGTACATTGCAATACATGTCTCTCCCCTTTAGGAAAAGGTTAGCCCAACTAAGGTTTTCCCTTAACGGCATGTCAGAGCAGCCGAACAAGTTACATCTTGAATTGTTTCCAATAAAGAATTATTCCATGAGGCAACTATTCGACTTGCTAAAGGATCTGGCTGGCCTCCACTTAGAATTACCCCATGTAAATATTTATACTTAAATAATTTTCACATATATATTCAAAGAAAATCGTTAAAAAAAAATCGGTTCCCACAATTCTTCATATAATTGAAGCATTCAAAAATTTCGATTTAGTTATAAAAGCTTGCTTTGGATTTATCCTTCAGCCGGATTTTATTGAAATAATTGAAAATTTCAAAATTTGTTAATTAATGATAACTGGTGCTAGTTAAAATTCACCCTTAAAATTCACACCGTTTTCTACCACATCAAAGATTTCATCAGTTGCAAAAGATCCCCCTTAAGGTCCTAGAGTGAACAAACTGTTGAAACTTCTCATCAAGACTTTTAAAAAAATTGGTCAAGGTATAAACGAAACAATAAGCATCCCGTGTACAAAGATGCTACCATTACTCAATTTATTAAATTAGGCGGCAGAAAATCATAGCTTTCTGTTTGTAATGAACATTTTAACCATTTTAATCTTGAACTGCTGTTAGTAATTATGAATTTTAATATTATACAATGAAAATAGTTAAGTTGAGTTTGCGGATATTTACGATCCGCAAACTCAACTTAATTATTGTCAGGAGTACTGACGTTTATACTAACAGATATTTGTATATAACGTTACATTAGTGGATTTTTACATTTGAATATTACATATTGTATTTTACATTTGCATTATACATCTCCAATAGTAATAAAGTTCTATTTAATTGTAATTTATTTAAATATAATTTTTATATTTGCAGTTTTTTGGTTGTTTTATATGAGAAAATATTGTGGTTTTCAAAATAATTTAAGGATACTTTTTAATTTTATTTTAAGTAATTAGATGCAAACCGACTTAGCAAAATCCTAATTAAAGTTCAAAAAGAGAACTTGTAAAAGTATTAAACTCTGTATAAACAAAAAAAAAAACACAAGCAGTAGTTGTATTAAACAAAAAATAAATTTTCATTTATTTTATTTAAAATCTTCACTGATATGAAATAACCTTTGATTGTCAAAGATGAGATTTGTATAAAAAATTGCGATTTAAGTTTTACTAATATGCTTTGACTACGTTGAGTATTTATATCTCTTTGGAACAACAAGTGAGAGGAAGTGACCTTATCACTATACAAATGGAATTTTTACATTTTCGTAGTTTTAAATTACTCAATTGCTATTAACTACATGTCTGTATATAAATTTCTTGAACTTTCAATAAAAAAAGTGCTAAAAAACTTTTTCTCGCTATTAACTCGGCTTTAATGGCTGCCAAGAGTTCCGTATCAAACGCGCACGAGTGGGCACTATTACGTTCAGCATTATTAGATAAGATTAAAATGAATCAATTAATTTTTATCATATTTTGATATTAATTTTATACATCTTTTCAAGATGTAATTAAGAACACCAAAGTTGTCGATGTACATGCAACGTGTAATTGAGAACATGAAAGTTGTGACTAAGAAATATAATTGAGAACATGAAATTTGTAAATAAGAAACCGTAAGGTGGAACTAAGAACATGATAGTTATAATTATGCATCCGTCGTGTTGTAGTTTGAGTTTTGTCTTCAGAACTAAAATTCATGGTTCGAAGCCGGCTTTGGCCATAAATGCATTATTGGTAAAGAAAGAGGTGTGAACCTCCTGGTTAAGTTCTATTTTTCGCGGTGCTTTGTGATAAGACTGTTAGAACTTCTTAGAGCTTCTAAACAATTAATTAAAAAATAAAAAAATATTACAATATAGATAC